CCGACACCTGGGGCGGGAGGGGCAACTCACCGCGGGCAACTCACCGCGATGAGCACGACGACAGAGAGCGTGTAGTACACGGAGTCTCGGCACACGGCCCACCACGTCAGACGGACCACCTGCCAAGCAGAGCCCCGTCAGCTGCTGCTGTCGCGGGAGGTGCAGAGGTGGGTGCAGCTGCCCAGAGCTCATAGGTGCAGGGCAAGCCCACGGAGCTCCTCCTAACTACAGACCAACCCTTGTCCTTTGTTATATTTGGCGAACAGAACAAAACCAAGTCACATTCTCAAGATGGCAAAGCTATTCCTTCCTCCTCCAAGGTCCCAACAGTGCACGCTTCCCGGCAGATGGCAGAGGCGCTGGCCCCTCTACCTGATCTGGCACCTTCAGGTGTAACTGACTGCCCGCCCGTGAGCCCACCTTTCTGAGGTCGAGTCCAATATTCCCCTGCGGCTCTGAGGATATCTAATGGGACATCGACAACAAGCCAGCTTCATGCTCCCTGCTGGGGAGGCCAAGGCTGGGCCCTGGGTGTCCCCACTGCCGCCCGACCTCTCGTTGTAGATGCTCATGGCCCACACCTCAGGGCACATGTCTGCCAGGCCAGGGGAACCACTGACCTGCCCAGCGAATAATCCGCACACTCCGATTATGCACAGGATGTTGAACACGGCGGAGCCCACGATGGTGCCCACCCCAACGTCCCCGTGGGTGATGAACACGCCTGGAAGGGAAAGGCACAAAGCCTGGCCTCGGCTGCACGGCCTCAGCGTCCCCCAGTGTGGGAAGTAAGCTGTTTGTTTTTATTATCACACGGCAAAACCAGGGATGTGGAAATGCCCTCAGAGACCAGCTACTGTAATCCTCCTGTATTCTGGGACTGGCTTTATTGAGATATAATTTATATGCTATAAAATTCACCCATATAAAGTATACAATTCAGCAGTTTCAGTAAATTCATAGAATTGCACAGCCCAAACCACAATCTAATTTTAGAACATTTTCACCACCCCAAAAAGATATCACATACTCCACTTAGCACCCCACCCCAGCCCAAATCCCAAAAAACCACCAATCCTCTCTCTCTCTCCAACAGTCCATTTTACAGATGAGAAAACCAAGGCTCTGAGCTGACAAATGCCCCCACTGCGCTGGCACCAAAGCCGAGCTCTCTCTAGATCCCGCGTCTCGGGCCGTGGGGATTTCTCACCAATCACAGAGGCGAACAGCTCCGGCGTTGAGCTTCCTGCAGCCATGAAGGTGGCCCCAGCCACATCTTCGCTCAGATGGAGTTTCTGAAACAGAAGTGACCATGGGCCCTCGGGATGCGATGCGAGGGCAGAGGACACGATGACTGGACACTCTGGCAGCCAAGGAGCGAGCGGGACAGCAACGCCGCAGCTGCAGCCAAGCTCCTCTGCCGCCGGCCACGCCCTGGGCCCTGAGCACCGCCCTCCACCCTCGGCCAGGCCTTCACCTCAAACCCCTTTTCCCTTCCCCCACCTGCCTCCTTTCTGTCCATACCCTGGGCCCTGACCAAATAACGTCTCCTTGGTGACGTTTCCGTGTGTCTACCCAGGGCCAGCCACTTCCCTTGGACACGCGATGTGTTTATCCTCCATCAGTGAAATATGAGTCACACGTGAGGGTTGTGGGCTATGTGCCTGCCTCCCCCCACTGGGAGATGAGCGCAGCGGCTGGTCTTTCTCATCTTTGGATCCCCAGGGTCTAGAACAGGGTCTGGCACACAATGGCACTCCACAGGAGCACCCCAGTCCAGTGACTATCCCCTCCCATGCAGGTTTTGGGTACGGGGTCCCTGTGAGACCATCAGGGCTGCGGGACCTGGAGACCCCGACACACAGCAGGGTCCTGCATTCCGGAAGGCCTTCTCCATGGCGAGCCCCACATGCAGCGGCTCATGGAAACCCAGAGGCCCTGTGCCCAGGGTTGAGCATGGGACGGGGCTGGGAACTTTCGGTCAAGGCCAGCTCTGCTTGGCCAGGCCACGTTCTGGCCACGGAGGCCCATCCTCTGATCTGAAATGTGGTGCTGGGGGCTCTGGGTGCTTGGAGAAACCAAGGAGGCTCAGGGTCCGCTGAGCGCCAACTTTAGTGGCCCACCCCGCCCTGTGGCTCTCCAAAGGTCCCTCAGGGCAGGCTCAGCCTCCTCTGCCCCCACCTCCCAAAGTACCCCTGGGCAGCCCTGGGCTCTGGAGCCCCCGAGGACTCCCTGGGCCAGCATAACCTCCCCAGGTATCATCTGGCCACAGGAAGTGGTCCTTAGAAGGGACAGAGCTCTGGGTTGGGCATAGTACTGATCCGCAAGGCAGAGACCCGGCCACCTTGACCCTACCAAAGTGCAAGTTGCCACAGAAGAGGCTCTGCCACCAAAGCATCTCTAAAAACTTTCAGCAGAAGCCAGACTGTGCTACCTCCTGCCTGGCTCCTCCCTGCCTTTGCCTGGGCTGTTCCTTCTGCCTAGAATGCCCTTCCCCTTCCGCTCTGCTTGCTAAATGCCTCCTACTTCCAAAGCCTGGACCAAATGCCTTCTTGGGCCTCTCCCCAGCAGAGATGCTTCCTCCCTTCCCTTTGGCTCCTTGGACTTTTGATGTCTCTCACTGACCCCTCACATCAGTCTTACCTATGGGGATGGGACCACCACTCTTGTTCCCCTCCGCATCCTCAGGGACACAAGTAACTCCACAGGGCACCTGGTACCTCCACCATATATGGTGCTGTGCCGTAGTCACCCACCTTCTGCGGGCTTCCGTCGACCCCAGAGGGGCAGGGGGCCCAACCCCATTGCTGTGGCCTCCCGGAGCTCTCAGCCTACTGGGTGCCTGGGTATGCATTCAGTAAGGGTCAGATGACTGTGTTCTTCCTGAGGGCCACCTCCAGAAGGCAGAGAAGGCAACAGACCACTTGAGGTCACCGCCCCCCCGCCAGTGCACCACTCCATGGGGGCCGAAGGTGCAACCTCCTGCACTAACAGCCCAGCGATTGTTTCCCTCTTCTGTGCCACACACTCTTCCCCTGGCCCCATCCTCTCTCTAGAGAGTGTCTGGATGGAGTGAGCACACGGCTCGATCTGGGTGGGGGCTGTGCTGGGGGAGCAGGGTGGCGGCAAGGAGGGCAAGGCCTTGGCACAGTTTTGCCGGCTTACTGTTTAGGGGAACCCAGGCCCAGAGCAGCCAGTCCCTTCCCTGCGGTGACACTAAGCCCCCCAAGCTGTGCCCAGCAGCAGGCAAAGTCATGGGGAAGCAGCTGCCCCTAACAACCCGTGTTCCCAGCTGCAAATGTCACCACGATGACATGGCCTCAAACAGCTGGGAATTTCACAGGGACGAAGGGCGCAAAGCCTGAGCACTCTGCACACAGTAGGTGCTGCAAATGATGGTTGTTTTCCTTCCTCGACTGGAAGCCAGAGGAAGACAAAGTAAAGAAACAGACTAACCAGGGCCTCGCACGTGGGGAGAAATAAGGCAAGACAGTAAAACACTAACAAAATAATTAAGGGGAGAAAACGTCAGCCTGTTAGAACAGAGGGAATTCCCTGCCATTGCAGCGGGGCGCCCTCCCATGGGCGTGCGTGCAGATCCCCGCCTGTGACCTGCCGCCCACGCTGGTTCCGGGACACGCTCCCTCCACCACAGCTCGCAGGGCTGCCTGGGCTCCCGACCCGCCCAGGCTTGGCACCACAGGCCGACAGCCTGCAGTAGGTCCAGCCGTCCGGGTAACAATTTCACGCTGGGGGCGTTTTCTCCTGCCGAGCTCTGGGAGGGGACGCCACCCACCAGTCTAGTCTGGGGGCTCCCGAGGGACGCTTCGCCGTGGGGCAGACACCAAGTGCTGGGTGTGGCAGATTTTACCACCAGTGTGCACCCCACTCCTGGGCCTGTCATTTACGTGCCACATGTCCTCAACCACCCCCAAACCTCCCAAGGCTTCACCGAGGCGCCCTCAGTCCCTGCCGCGTACCTCGCAGATCTTCTCTAGAGACGGAACGAAGAAGTCGTCGCACACGATGGCCAAGGCGTAGAACATGTACAGAGCCTGCGAGGGAAGTAGACAGACGGGTCAGTCGGGGCGCCTGCCCAGGATCCACGCGCCCCAGACCACGTGCCAGGGCAGAGGCCGGGGGGACAGAGCGGCCCTGAGGAAAACTCTAGCACCCTATAGACTTGCTCCCTCAAGCCCTTCATCAGCAAATGGGGAAACCGAGGCCCAGAGAGGAGAAATAATATGCTAAACAGCAGGGGGGACTGAAACTCAGGCCACATGAGCTTGTGCTCCTTCCTCTCTTGTGATCTTGTGATATATTAATACATGTTTGTTCTCCACCCTTAGCTGCTGTCACGCGGCTCCTGGAAGCCTCGGAGTCTCAGGAGTAACAGGAGTGTCCTCTGCATGTGAACGAGGAGTGGCAGGGGCCTCTAGACAGCTTAGGATGTGGGCTCGTCACTGAAAGACCAAGGCATGATCAGAGGGACTCTCAGCCCCACCCTCCAACCTCCGAGAAGGAGCCGAAGGTCGAGCTGATCACCAGTGGCCAATGATGTCATCAACTGTGCTTATGTAACGAAGCCTCCATAAAAACCTCCAAAGACACGGTTTGGAGAGCTCTGGACAACTGAACATGGGGAGGTTCCCGGAGAGTGGTGTCTGGGGAGGGCGTGAGAGCCCCACGCCCCGTCCCCCACACTCGCACTCTGCACCTCTCCCATCTGCCTGTTCACCTGTATCCTTGGCAATGACCTTTACGATAAATGGGTAAATGGAACCCTTTCCCTGAGTTCCGTGAGCCGCTCTAGCAAATTAATCGAACCCACAGAGGGGGTCGTGGGAGCCCTGATTTAGCGCTGGCTGGTGAGAAGCGAAGGCCACAACCCGGGGCTCACAGCTGGTGTCTGAAGTGGGGGCAGTATCGTGGGCCTAAGCCCTCCGCCCGTGGGAGCTGACCCCGTCACAGGAAGATGGTGTCAGGATTGTATCGAATTAGAGGACACCTAGCTGGTGTCCACTGCATTGCTCTTGGTGTGTGGGGGAGGAAAAACCCGCGCACATTTTGGCGACCAGAGGTGAAGCAGCATGTGGTGAGTGAGTCTGAGAGCAGGAAAAGCACTTTGTTTTTTCCTCTCTCCAACATCTCTTCTTGAAGCGGCAGCTCTCTTTCCTAGCACTGGAGTCTGCCCTCAGAAGGCAAGATCTAACCCTGACGGCCAAGAAGAAAAGCATTTAGAGTCACCATTTTAAAAATTTACAATAATGATTATCCTAATTTGCCCCCTTTATTTTTAGGGGAGGCACAATTTCCTTGTTACCAACTGCCCATCCCCTGCCAAAACCAATGTCAACTTGAGATGTGGCATTTCCTGGGATGTGACTTCACGCCGGCACACGTGACAATACGTGGGCCGTTTACATGGGGAGGGTCATGGAATAGAGTCCAGACCCTAATGCTGTGGACTTATCTGCCACATGACTTTGCATAAGCCACATCTCCAGGTTTCGGTTTCTTCATCTGTTTGATGATGAAGTAAGAACAGATCAGTAGTTTTAAATGGTTTCATAGCTGCAGCCTCTCCCGGCCCCTCCATCTATTCAGCTGCCTGGCGGGCTTCACCGAGCTCACCCTACGTGCCAGGTACTGTTCCAGGAATCAGGGATAC